TAGTATACTATTGCAGGCATGTGCCACAGGGCCACCAGTTGATGGACCTGGGACAGTTTTCCATTTTGGGTCATTACGGATAAAGTTACAACAGACATTTATGTTTGCATCTTGTATGCTTTCATTTCTCTTGGGTTATTACCCATACTTTTCCAAGGTGGTTATGGCGCTGTATATTCCTGCAAGCAGTGTGTGAGGGTTCTGTTCGCTCCACGTCTTCACCAGTACTTGTAATTTGTCCATCTTTTGAATTTTAGCCATTCGAGCAGATGGGTAGTAGTATCTCATGTTTTTTGTTGTTTTTTTTCCCCCGGACAGTGTTTTAAGATCTAATTCTCATGCTACACAGTTCAACCAATTAAAGTACACAATTCATTGGCTTTAAATATACAGTCACGTATTGCTTAACAACAGGGATGCCTGCTGAGAAATGGATAGTTAGGTGATTTTTCGTGTGCAGCCATCGCAGCGTGTATTTACATACACCTAGATGACATAGCTACTGCACACCCAGGCTCTGTGGCACGTTTATTGCTTCTAGGCTACAGACCTCTACAGCATGTGCAGTTGTAAAACAGTGCTAAGTATGTGTTTATCTGAGCATATTTAAACTTAAAAGCTACCGTAAAAATATGGCATAAAAGATAAAATATGGTACACCGATATAGGGTGTTGACTGAATGGAGCTTGTGGGACTGGAAGCTGCTGTGGGTGAGTCGCTGAGTGAGTGGTGAGGGAATGTGAAGGCGTAGGGCGTTACCACTGTACGCTACCGTGGACTTCATACACACCACACACTTAGGTTACACTGAATGTAGATTTTTTGGGGCAGCTGTAATAACTGATACTATAACATTTTTTAGAGGCAAGGTCTTGCTCTGTCTTCCAGGCTGGATTGCAGTGGCCATGATCATGGCTTACTGCAGCCTCAACCTCCTAGGCTCAAGCAATCCTCCTGCCTCAGCCTCCTGAGAGCTGAGACTACAGGCACGTGCCACCATGCCAGGCTAATTTTTTTTTTTTTTAATTTTTGTAGAGTTGGCGGTCTTGCTACATTGCCCCAACTAGCCTCCAACTCCTGACCTCAAACGGTCCTCCCACCTCTGCCTCCCAAAATGTTAGAATTACACATGGGAGCTGCTGCACCCAGCTCCTACCATAAGTATATAATCTGTCTTTTTGTTACTTGTGTTTGTGGGGGGGAGAAAAAAACCTAGGTTATTTATAATACCTAATACAATATAAGTGCTATGTAAATAGTTATTATACTCTATTTTTTAAATTTGGCTTTGCTGTAACTTTTTTACATGATAAACTTTGTGATTTTTTAAATTTTTTGACTCTTGTAATAACACTGTAAAATACATTGTACAGCAGTACAAAAATACTTTGTTTATATCTTTATCCATTTTTTCCTATTTTTTAATTTTCACTTTTACTTTCCAAACTTAAAAAAAAAACAAAACCTAGGACACAAAGACACACATTAGCCTAGGCCTACATGGGAGAAGGATCATCAGTGCGTCACTAGGCAATTGGACTTTTTCAGCTCCATTATAGTCTTATGCGATCACTGTGGTGTATGTGGTCTGCCATTGACCAAAAGGTTGTTAGGCAGCACATGCCTGTATTCACTGAGTTGTGCAACCGTCACCACAATTTTAAAACATTTTCATCGCCTCAGAATGAAACCTTGGACCCCTTAGCCCTATTCCCCATCCTCCCACCAGCCAAGGCAGCTGCTAATCTACTTTCTGTCTCTGAATTTTCCTATTCTGGACATTTCAGATGCTGTAAACGGAATCATATAATACATGGCCTTTGTATCAGGCTTCTTTCTCTTAGTGTAATGTTTTCAAGGTTGATCATGTTGTCATCTGTATTTGAATTTTATTTCTTTTTATGGTGGAATCCTGTTCCATTGTATGGGCATATGTGCGAGTGTGTGCACATACACACAAGCCAAATATTGCAAGGCTTATCATGAAAAGCAATTGTCCCTTTCTTGACCCTTTTCACCCTCAATTCCTGTTCCCAAGAGGCGGCTTCTTTCACACATGTGGCTCCTTCTGCAGATAAGCTGTTTAGTGACCTCCATATTGCTGAATACCCTGGCTGTATTGCTGTTTTGGTTTTTCAGTTTCGGATATTATCTGGTGACTTTCTGATAGGGAAGTGGGAATTTCGTTTTTAATCGGCCGCTCCCAGGGCATCCCACCCCCACGTAGACGTTTGCACGGACACATTCATATGCAGGCCCTTTCCACTCTATTCCAGTGTGCATGATACATGTTGGTTAGATCAGTAGTCTATGTCGACATCATTATGACTGTGGAAGTTGTGTGCTAGGTTGAATCTCAAAGTGAACCATGAATACACGTCCTTTCATGGAAAACTTTTTGTTTTCCTTGAGATTGGCCTGGGGTCCTTTGAGTCCAGCGCTTCTCAGGCTTCAGTTGTCGGAACACGGACCCAGTTCTCATTGGTGCTGGGCGGTGGTGAGTGGGCACAGGCAAGGAGGGTTGCTGCCTCTTCTCAGCTTTCTGCCCTTTGCCTGCTGCCCTCTGCCAGTCAGGCCCTAGCCGTGACTGCTTGCTCTGGCTTCACCTGTGCCTCCGGCCTTTGAGTGGTTCTGAGCTCCAGATGGACTTGTCCCCTACCCCAGCTGCCAGGCTTGGGTTTTCTTTTTTTTTTTTTTTTTTTTTTTTTTTTTATTTGTTTGATTTCAGTTCCCCAGACAGCTCTTATCTACTCTTTATTTTTGTTAATTTATGTCTTTTTGTTTTCCTTTACTACCATTTTATTGGGGTTTTGGGAGTCAAGAGAAAAGCATGTGCTCAGTCTACCAGATTTAACCAGAGGTCAAAAACTTTCCATTTTTATTGTCTAAATATTATTCACTTAAGGATTCCTCCTCCCCGTCTTAGTCCATAGCTGCCTTTGCTGAATCTTTGGTGTCTCCTGCCTCAGTTATTGCAATAGTCCCTGACTGACCTCCTTGTTCTCAGTGCCCTTGTCTTGGACTGGTGACCTGCCCATGACCTCTCCCTTACACCTGTCCCCATGCCCCAGAACCCACAGGATGGGGTCTAAGCTTATTGGCTTGGAAAGTATAACCCTTGGATCGCAAGAATTTTTTTTTATGTTTTCCCAAAAATGTCACGCTGTTTGCTCCACTGTGCTTGAGTCTGTGCTCTGCTTCCAAATGGAAGATCTGTGTCCTCCCAGGTCAGCCTCATTGTCACAATTGAGTCTGGTGATCATCTCTGACCTGAAGCTTTCCCTGAACCATACTCATTATGTTCATTTTTGCGTCTCTTCTGCCTGGTTGTACTTCTCTTGTTACAATAACTGCCTTGTATTCTTTTTTAAATTTGTACGTTTTTGCAGATTTCTCTGATGCCTGGCTTAATAGACAGCAGTTGCCTTCTCCGATCTGCCTCTGCATTCGATGTATTGGGATAGCACATCATGTTGCTTCTGAAAACTCCACTGCATTGTATACTCAGGAGATAATGTGAATCAAAAATGGAAAATCATATGTTAGTATTGTTGTAAAGATAATATTGGCCAGGCATGGTGGCTCATGCCTGTAATCCCAGCACTTTGGGAGGACGAGGCAGGCGGATCTCAAGGTCAAAAGATTGAAACCATCCTGGCCAACATAGTGAAACCCCATCTCAACTAAAAATACAAAAAGTTAGCTGCATATGGTGGCGCTTGCCTGTAATCCCAGATATTCAGGAGGCTGAGGCAGGAGAATCACTTGAACCTGGGAGGCGGAAGTTGCAGTGAGCCAAGATGGTATCACTGAACTCCAGCTTAGTGACAGGGCGAGACTCTGTCTGTCTCTCTCTCTCTCTCTCTCTCTCTCTCTCTCTCACACACACACACACACACACACACACACACACATGCGATAGGATTGACATTTCACACCCTCAGAAGGGTGTCAGGGACACCAGGATGAGATTTGCTACACTAGTGTCACTTACCACACTGCATACACCAGACTGTACCATACAGAGGCACATATTTCTGAAACTTCCTTCATTCCTAATATATTTTGTAGATATTCCTATATCAACACGGATATGTGTTTTTTAATTGCAGTGTACTTTAATTATTGCCTGTTAGATGTTGAACAGTGATAGGGCTGGGAGGGAACAGTCGGAGAGGTGATTACAGAGGCCTTAGAATAAAAACGCTTAACCAGCAGATAACTGAGAATAGGCTGTAAACATGGGAGTGATAGGAGGTTTTTATCTGGGTTGGGGAGAAGTGAGTAACATGTTTTAGGATTAATATTTCAGTAATGTGTGTGTGGACTAGAAGAGGAGAAACAAACAGCAGGGCAGGAGAACATTGAGAACATCCTTATAATTATTTAGATTTGAGGGACAGAATGCTAAGAAGGAGATAACAGTCATAGGAATCCAGAGATACGAAGGTGGACGGATAAATGTGAGGTGTGAGCACAGACAGGGCAGCAGGAGGAAGCTTGGCAGTGCGGGGCATGGGTTGCATACCCAGGCCTTGGGTCTGATGGTGCTCTCTGGACGGAAACACAAAAAGGACAACTCAATTTTGGAGGAAAGATATGTTTTCTGGCCTCGATTTCTTTATGTCCCTTCTACCTCTAAATTACTTGTTTTATGGCCTGTTAACTATTAAATGATCTGTTTAATAGCATTTACTCATGCCTTTATGAGTACCATGCACTAATAATTTTGAAGTATGCTACAAGTCCAAAATTGTTGTATAAAAATTATACTTCCTTTACCTGCCTCTTGCTTCTCTTAAACACTAGATAAAGACGATTTTGGGAAGTTTGGTTTATAATGACTTTTGTATTTGCTGTGGTATTTATTTTTTTAAAGGTCTGTTAAAATGACCTACGTATGGGTTTCTTAAATTGCTGATACAGGTGCAGATTTAGTGCTGTGTCAGTGTATAATGGAAGCAAATACTGATTAGACTACCTTAATTTAATTATACAGATGCAGGACGGCCAGAGCACACGTCGACGAATCATTGTTCCCTGCAGCTAATATGAAAGAACACTTGCCAAGCCTAATTAAAAAAAAGGTAAGTACATGGTTTCAGGGTAGACAATGGCAATTAGGAATTTATTCAGTTTATTTTTTTTATTTCTAGAAAATAATACTTCCACAAATACATTCAAGAGTTATCTTAAGTATGCTATTGATGACATTGTTCTTTTCACATACCATTTTTAGTGAATTAAAGATTATTTTATCCTATGAATTCTTCGATAGCATCTGTAGGAAGTGGAAGAGACCGTGGTTGGCCATGGGGAATCTAAAAGGTGCCCAGAGATAAGCAGACATTCAGGTGCTTTGGCAGCCACTTCAGAATGAAGCTTGTTGTATCTGTGGCAAAAATACCTGCATTCTTTTTAGCCAGAAAAATCTCACAAGTCAGATGGATGTATACCCAAATGTGCAAAGTCATTTCCTAGAGAAAATCTGCTGTACAAATACAGTTGTCCTTCAGTATCCATAGGGGATCAGCTCCAGGACCCCTGCCAGATACCAAAATCCACTGATACTTGAATCCCTTATGTAAAATGCAGTAGTATTTGCATATAACCTATACAAATTCTCCTATATACTTAAAAAAAAATATTGTCGAGACAGGATCTTTCTGTGTTGCCCAAGCTAGTCTCAGAATCTTGGTCCCAAGTGATTCTGTTGCCCCAGCCTCCCAAAGTGTTGGGATTACAGGTGTGAGCCACTGCATCTGGCTCCTTCCATATACTTTAAGTAATCTGTGGATTACTTATAATACCTAATACAATGTCAGTGCTTTGTAAATAGTTGTTATACTATATGGTTTTTTAATTTGTGTTAAAATTTTTTTTTTTTATATTTCCAATCATGATTGGTTGAATCCACAGACCTGGAACCTGCAGTTCCACAGGGCAAATTGTAGAGTTGAAGACATTGCTTTCATTTGAGACCTAATTCACATTTTAACCACAACCTTTTAGCTTTCTATTTATTTAAAAGTTCTAATTGAGATTTCTTTATCGGAGGATAGTGTACTCTGAAACATCACAGCCAGGTTGTTTTCACATGAGAATCTCTCTTAGAGGGATGACTCTCTCCAAACCGAACTACATTTCCTGTAGACTAGAGGAGAAACAACCGTGGACTCCACATTTCCTGAAAATAGTCAATGATATTTCTCTGTTACATTTCATCTCAGACAAGCCAGAGTTTGCCCATCTAGTGATGGATGAATTTCCTTCCGTCTTACCTGATTATAGGTGAAAAGTGTTTATCAGTCTCTGGAACCCCCTGTGACATGATAAAATCAAGTGTTCATTGTAAAAACTCGACAGTAGTACATGCATGTTTTCACTGTAAAACATTTGGTAAGCACAGATAAAGCAGATGTCTCTTTTGATTGCCCTCCCTCAAAGCAAGTAGCTTTCAGTTTGATGACTATCCTGGATGGCACTTCTTCCTTACATTACACACATGTACATACACACACAGGCGTGCCTGACACGAAGGGGCTCTGCTGTCTTATGTGTATTGTTTGGTGAGTTGCCGTCTCTTCCCGGGTTAGCAATATGGTTTTGACCATTTCATGTCAGTAGATGTGATTCTACTCAGTTTTCTGTATTGTATTATACACTGTGACTGTTTTCCAGTATTCATGTACTTTTAGTCATTGTCAGTTTTTGCTAAGTGTATTACTTATGCAACATGTTTGAGGTTATTTCTCCAAGTCAGATGTCTAGAGATAAAAATTACTGGGCCAGAATACATAACACATTTTGATTTTAACAGTTCCACCAATCATGTACAAGATTTCCTATTTCTTGGCCAGGTATGATGGCTCACAGCTGTAATCCCAGCACCTTGGGAGGCCGAGGCAGGCGAGTCAGTTGAGGCCAGGAATTTGAGACCAGCCTGGTCAACATAATGAAACCCTGTCTTTACTAAAAATACAAAATTTAGATAGGCATGGTGATGCATGCCTGTAATCCCAGCTATTCAGGAGGCTGAAGCAGGAGAATCGCTTGAACCCAGGAAGTGGAGGTTGGAGTGAGCCAAGACCATGCCACTGCAATGTAGTCTGGGTGACAGCAAGGCCCTGTCTCAAAAAAAAGATTACCTATTTCTTTTTCTTTTTTTCTTTTTTTTTTTTTGAGACAGAGTTTCACTCTTGCTCCCCAGGCTGGAGTGCAATGGCGTGATCTCAGCTCATCGCAACCTCCGCCTCCTGAGTTCAGGCAATTCTCCTGCCTCAGCCTCCTGAGTAGCTGGGACTACAGGCACGCGCCACCATGCCCAGCTAATTTTTTGTATTTTTAGTAGAGACGGGGTTTCTCCATGTTGACCAGGATGGTCTCGATGTCTTGACCTCGTGATCCACCCGCCTCGGCCTCCCAAAGTGCTGGGATTACAGGCGTGAGCCACCGTGCCCGGCCAAGATTACCTATTTCTTTATAGTCTTACCAATATTGGATATTGCTAATCTTTTAAATTTTTCCTAATCTAAAGCATAAATGACTGCTCATACACTTTACCACTTTAAAAACCTTCCCTTTACTTCTCTTTTCCAAATGTAGTTGCAAATTAAACCTAACCTGAGTCCTTATTCTTCTGGGTCTTTGAGGAGGTTCTGTGCATCTCTCTTTCCTCCTCTCTTTCTGTCTGCTGCCTGTCTGCCCAGCTTGCTGTTCCTCAAGCACACCAATCATGTTTCTGCTTCAAACACATTGCATTATCTATTCCCTCTGTCTGGAACATTCTTCCCCCCAAATCCATCCACAGGACCCGTTTTCCAGCCTCCCTATGGCTTTGTGCAGACGCTACTTTCTCCATGAGACCTATCCTGACACCCCGTTGATACCAGCAGTGTCTTCCCACTTGTGCCCACCATCAAGTCCCTTTTCATCTGCCGTGCTTACTGGCTCTTCCTAACGGTGGTCATGTGGCCAGTTTGATGGAGTGCAGTTGCTAGAGAAGATTCACAGGACCCAGAAATAACAATGTGTCCAAATCTGCACAGTACCTGAGAACCAGAGAGCGCAAGGTGGAACCTCGCGTACACTGCTGGCCATGAGTCTCTGTAAACCAGCCCGACTGGCAGAGCCTCCAGCAACTCCTTCATCTCACTAATCGTAAACAGTGCTGAAAAGCTGGCACAATCTGCCCCCGAACTTCCTGGACCTGTGGCTATAAAGCACCACTGTCTAATTAGTACATTTTGTGTCATGCGGGTACTTTAGTGAAAGCAGTCCAGGCTGGTTCCAAGCCTGTTGAAATTAACCTCCCAAGACGCATACAATTTACTTATTTATTTAATGTTTATTTTCTGTCATTCCTTACCAGCATTCAAGCTCTGTGATGACAAAGATCTTTCTAGGTTGCAAGACCAGCGCCTGACATATAGTAAATGAGTGAATAACTAACAGAGCAAGATCCCCAGTGTAGGCGTTAGCCTTGAATGGCTAAAAAAGTCCTTTGTTTAAGACTGGAGCAAAATAAGTTAGGCTAGTTACCCATATAAGCAGATTTGGGCTGGTAGCTTCAAGCTGAAAACCAAGGGATCTAGACAGATGACTTAAATTTCCCTGGGATCCTATAAGAAAGAAGTAGTAGTAGGTAAAATCATAAAAGTGGTAGTAGGTAAAATCAATGTGAAGAGCAGTATGTGTATTTGTGATGATGGCTGGGCTAAAGATGGGAAGTCAATGGGCAGTTCTAAGAGGAGAATGTGGTAAGTCTGGGAAGGTCAGGTGTTTGTTGTTGTTGTTGTTGTTGTTGTTTTGTTTTGTTTTGTTTTTCTTTGAGATGGAGTCTCCCTCTGTCGCCCAGGCTGGAGTGCAATGACGCGATCTCAGCTTACTGTAACCTCTTTGTTCCGGGTTCAAGCAATTCTTCTGCCTTAGCCCCCCTAGTAGCTGGCATTACAGGTGCATACCATCTTGCCCAGCTAATTTTTATCTTTTTAGTAGAGATGGGATTTCACCGTGTTGGTCAGGTTGGTCTCAAACTCCTGACCTTGTGATCTGCCCTCCTGGGCCTCCCAAAGTGCTGAGATTACAGGCATGAGCCACCATACCCAGCCATGAGATATGTTTTAAAGGAAACGTTTCCCTTCTCTGAGCATGGTAAGAGTAGAGTTAACCCAAGACCTTCCCCTGGATATCAGCCTGGGGTTTCGTGTGTTTGTGTGCGTAGTTATAGTTTTTAGGTTTTACTGGCTGATTGGAGTTACTGTGATTTAATGACAGTAGGACAAGATTAAATAATGGTTCTTTTTTTTGGTAATTATAAAATAGAAATTATTTGATCACTGCGTCATGGTCTTGCAGGGAGGATGGTGTGAGAATTGTGCTACCAAGCAGGCAGTGGGCTTGCTGCCCAACCCACATAGAGTTCAAGATCACGGCACTTGCTTTCGAGAAAAGAAAGGCTTTATTGCAAGTTGCCTGGCAAGGAGACAGGAGGAAACGCTTAAATCTGCCTCCCTGAGATGGGGGCTCAGACAGTTTCATAGGCAGAGAAAACCCAGTGTGATCTGATTGGATCTTATAACGAGGTGATGTTGGGCAGCGTGATCTTACTGGGTTGTGTCATGAGGTGATGCCGGGACTCAATGGGATTGGATCATGGCTTATGCCGTCAGGTGTTTACTCCTTAATTTGGCCCCTGTTCCTTGGTCTAAGTGCCTGGATTCCACGCATGGTTACATGCTTGGTTCACCTGGGCATGCTCAAGTGACATAACTTGCAACCTGGGGTCCACGGCAATTCAAAAACAGTCCGCCGTTTTGATACACAAAGTTGAAGTAGATTGGGCTCGTATGGCGGTAACAATAGCAAAAAACAGAAAGAGACTGGCTTTGGCTAAAAACTTTGATGGAAACTGTGAATGCTGGGATCATGAAAATGTCTCACAAAGCATTATACAGAGGCTTTTATTCAATCTTTTAAATTCTGTCCATTTTCTTTATAATTGTGCAAAAAGAAAGAAATATTGCCAATTCACATACAGTGCAAGAAACACCTCTTTCAGAAGTTTTTATTACTGATGTTATGAAAAGTATCAGAAATGTATGTGAAAGGGCTTTGTTCCTATCTTAAGCAGTTGCAATACAGCATTAATTTTTGTGTCCTTTTCTCACAGCGTAAGTGTATGCAGCCCAAAGATTTTAATTTTAAAACACCAGAGAATGATAAGAGATTTCAGAAAAAAGTTGAGAAAATGGCTGAAGAGCTACAAAGGCAAAAAAGAAGTCTAGGTAAGCCAAGAAATATAATACAGTTCTTTGCGTTTGCGTCCATACACCTTCTTTAATTTGCTTGATGGCCAGTAGAGTTCAGGATGAGTTAGCTGATGAAGACCGTAGTAGATTTCGAAAGGAGAAGACAAAGTGTCAGCAGCCTGCAGGAGACTTGACTGGGAGCCATAATGGAGCCAAGCAGTTGAGCTGATCAACCACAGTCTTAACCATTCATTAAGGTGGTGGAACTTGTTGTCTCCAGGAATGATTTCAGAGGAAAGGCAAACGTTAGCTAACAAGCCTTTTTCTTCTTTACAAATAACTTTGTATTTTTACCTAGTTGGCCTTTTTGTTTTGTTACAGAATAGGCAAATCTTAGATGATACATTCTGTTAGTGATTTGGAAAAATACTTTAGAATATTATGTTCATAACAAGATGTCTTAGAAAAAAATAGGTATTTTTACGTATTCTTAAATAATATTCTTATATATAAGAATATTATGAAACATTAAGATGCTTTGTATGTTTTCGTTATTTCTCTCGGCCTTTGTCACTATCCTCTAAATTCAGTATTTCCTACCAATTCTGACACACCATTGCTACAGATAAGCAGTTGTGATCACTAGAAATAGGAAGCATAAATTCCTCTAGCTTTCGTTTTATTTGTTTTCATCTATGTTGCTGTGTCACAAATTCTCTATTCTTTGTTTTGAAATTATTCAAATGGAATTATCGAGATTGATTTTAAATCTGTGATGATAATGTGACAGACTTCGGTGGCACACTTAGCCCACACAGTGCTGCCACATAATGTTCTAGAAACACAGCCTGCATCATTTGTTGCACGCTCAGCCCCCCCATTGCCTCTCCTGGGTGCGTCAGTCCTTCCTTCACACCAGCTGTCTGGTCTTCCTCGCAGCTCATGCCAGAAGCATGCAGTCGGCCTTGACATCTCCTTCTTCCCTGAGTCTGACCCCCGTGAAGACCGTGGCCCTGCTTCTGAAACAGTCGCTTGACTTCTGTTTTCACCTTCCCTCTTCTCGCCCCTGCTGCCTGCATTATCCCTCCTGCACCACTGCAGCCGCTCCTTACCCTGCCCTGCACTCTGCCCCGTGTCCTTACAGTTCATCTCCGTGTAGTCACATGAGGAAAACCTTAAATAAGAACGGTATCCCCTTCCTGATTGAAAATTTCTTGGTGTCATCCCAAGGAAAAATATTCAGGATAAAATGCTGTATTTAACATATTCTCCAATTTACTAGGTCCTTTATGATCTGGCCTCTCCTAGTCTCATATCAATATTACACACTCTCCTATGATTCTTTATATTTTGTTACTTTGGCCTTCTTTCCTATGTCAGTGACAGTATATTTGAAAATAACTTGACAACATGGTAATGGTAGATCCAAAATTTTCTTTTTAGACCAAATATGTACCTTAATGGAAATTGCCTTTTAAAAACTATACATATGAGGTATTAATGATTCAACTAATGTACATTTATATATTGTCAGAACTACACAGTACGGGTTATTCAGGCTTACGTGTTGCAAAGGAGAATATATTAAATAATTCTTGGTATTTTTTTGTTGGGGGTGAGTATCAAAGTTCCAAAGGCCTCTTTGAGCATATGCAAGGTAGCATTCCAGAAAAAACCACAACTCTGCACCCACACAAGCCAACTCATAGTTTCATGGTTCAGGGACCATGCTGATCCCACTTCATGCCGTCAGTTTCAAGTCTGGGTCTGTGAGCGTGTGTTGAGGGTCTGAGCGATGGTTAATGCAAGCAGTTTCTGAATCCTGGGACAAGATATAGAAACCAGATTGTATTCCAGCTTTACAACTGTAAACTTCTGTCTCAGTCTTTGCCTTCAAGTGGGGATACTGGTTTGGGTTTGGTTTGAGGTTGGATGCACTAATACATACATTGTTCTCAGCACAGCGCTTGGGGAAGGCAGGTGCTCAGCAGATGTGAGCCGGTAGCCTGTGGAGGTGGTGGGCTTAGAATATTCGCAAAAGTAGATAATGATGTCCAAAGGAGGGAAGGAAAGCGGGGTGTGTGGGGGTGTTCCTTAAAAGGAATCATACCCTTCAAGTATGAAGGTACTTTTTGATCTTAAAGTGGATTTTTTCTTTTCAGATGATGACGTACCTATTCTCTTATTTGAATCTAATGGCTCATTAACATACAGTCCCAGAATGAAAATTAATAATAGTCACCACAGCGCAATGGAGAAGAGATTACGAGAGATGAAGGAGAAAAGGGAAAATCCTTCCCCCACCTGTAAGTAATTACGGTCTGTGAAATGAAAATTATGCAAATAGGTAATTAAATTATGGTGGAAAGCTTTTTTTTTTTCTTTGCCTAGATAATATAGTTAATGTTTCTTGATAGTAACAAACTTTGGCCTATTTCATGGCTGGCTTTGTTTCCCAGAAAATCTTATGTATCATTAAGATTTTTGAAGTGTGTGTTGGATGTATGGTATTCTTTAAGTTTAAAATCCTATTTGTTGCAGCTCCTTTGTAATTTTTATTATCTTTGGAGTTTTTTCTTTCTTTTTTAAAAAAAAGATGAATCATGTCCTTTTTTCTTTCTTTGAGACGGAGTTTTGCTCTTTTTGCCCAAGCTGGAGTGCAGTGGCGTGATCTCAGCTCTCTGCAACCTCCCCCTCCTGCGTTCAAGTGATTCTCCTGCCTCAGCCTCCCAAGTATCTGGTATTACAGGTGTCCACCACCACACCTGACTAATTTTACTTTTCTTTCTTTCTTTTTTTTTTTTTTTTTTAATAGAGGTATGTTCACCATGTTGGCCAGGCTGGTCTTGAACTCCTGACCTCAAGTGATCCACCCACCTCAGCCTCCCAAGGTGCTAGGATTACAAGTGTGAGCCACTGCGCCCAGCCATGAATCATGTCTTTTTTAGGAATTTGCTTTAGATTAATGTATCTAATGAATCATTTTTCATTATTTCTTTTATCTTAAAAATTTTTAATTACTAAAGTGTAAGTGAGCATACTTTATAAAATACTTAACAAATTAGCTAATAGTAAAAGTTCATCTTGATACCCACGTAATTCTACTCCTCTGCCGGGGAGAACCTGTATTTTAAGTTGATGTATTTTTCCAGATCTGTTTCAGTGTATCAGATATCTGTGTATACATGAAAAAGGTACAGGTTTGGTTTCTGTGTGGATGTGTAATTTCTATTTTACTTAAATTAGATAATGACATATGTGTTATTATCCGCTGTGTTTTCTTTCGTAAGAGTATCTGGAGGTTTTATTGCAGCTTAGTTGTTATAGACTGACCTATTTTTTTTTTTTAAGATGCTGCAAAATACTCTGTAGCTTTAATACTGAATCATCTGTTGGTGGATACTTTTTTCCTCAGTTTTGCTTTATTTGAAATAGGGCTGTAGTTTTTATTCTTTTTTTAACCATATGGTTTAGTTGTTCTTGTTTTTTTATTAAGCTATTTTACTTTCTCTGGATATGTTATAACCCCTGTATGCATCTACATGAATCCTTATATTTCTGGGTACTTCATGTATTTCAGTAATATTAATTCATACATGCAGAATTTGCTTTTTTTTTTTTTTTTTTTTAAGATATAGAGTCTCACTGTGTTGCCCAGGCAGGACTTGCACTCCTGGGCTCAAGTACTTCTGCCTCACCCTCTCAAGGAGCTAGAGATACAGTTGTGTGCCACGACTTCTGGCTTATTGATAGATATAGTCAAATTATCCTTCAAAAAATTTGGGGGCTAGGCATGGTGGCTCACGTCAGAAATCCCAGCACTTTGGGAGGCCCAGGTGGGTGAATCACCTGAGGTCGGGAGTTTAAGACCAGCCTGACCAACATGGTGAAACCCTGTCTCTACTAAAAATACAAAATTGGGCCTGATAGCGCATGCCTGTAATCCTAGCTACTCAGGAGGCTGAGACAGGATAATCGCTTGAATCCAGGAGGCAGAGGTTATGGTGAGCCACGATTGTGCCATTGCACTCCAGCCTGGGCAACAAGAGTGAAACTCCATCGCAAAAAACAAAATGGGGCCACATTATTCTCACCAGTTGTTTATAAGATTGCCCCTTTCTCCACGCTTGGAAAACTGGATGGCGTTAGCCTGTAGCCTTTTTCAATCTGAAGCTTGAAAAACTGGATTTGTTTAAGTTACTTTTGATTAGAAGCAAGTTTAAGCACCTTTTCATATTATTGACTATGACTTACTGAATGCAGCTTTTAATGTTATCAACTACCACCTCTTTTAATTTTATGCCCTTTGTCCATCTACATCAGTTAAGGTTAGGTTTAGCTGCATGTAACAAAGAAACACAAAAACCAATGACTTAAACCTGATAGAATTGTCTTTCTCTGTCTTGTCTAGTTCAGGAGTAGGCAGTCAGGGCTGGGCTGCCATTCTGTGGTTCTTTAAGAAACCAGGTTCCCATCTTTCTGTTGTCCCTGCCTGGCATTTCTCCCGAAATGTGTGTTCCTCCCAGCTGAGCCGTCTCCCTTGGTCAGTCTTACTAGATGTCTCTCCAGTGTTCCTGCCTGATTGCATTGGCTGGAATGTGGTCATAGGGCCACCCCTTTTGCAAGCAGAACTGACACGTAGTCTTGACTGGGATGCATTGCTGTGCCGATAAAATCAAAGTTCTGTTGTTAAGAGGAAGTGAGAATGGACACTGAGGGAGGTAACTAGCTGTGTGCCAGGTGGACATCCAGATTGTTTCAGTGTGCAGTCATGGGTATAAACTAACTTGCCTTAAAGTTTACTTTTTCTATTACTTTCCATTGTTAATTTTGCCACTTCCCTGCATCTAGCACAGTTTCAAATCTAACCAGAAATTTTATGTGTGCTTCCCTTCCTTATCTTGGTTCACTCTCTTTTTTTGCTCAAGTTTTCTCAGAAAAGTTTCCTTTTGAGTCTCTAAAAACATATCTTTGGATATGAGATCCAAACATTTATTTTGTTTCTTGACTGTCTTATGAACAGCCTTTGAAGATAATACTTATGACCTTATTTGTTATATCATTGATATCCTAAGTGTTTTCGATGAAACCTCCAGGATTTCTCAACCCAGCACAGCTGGCATTTGGGTCTGGGTAATTCTTTGTTGGGGGCGCTGCCCTGTGCGTGGCAGGAAGCTCAGCAGCATCCCTGCCTCTCCTCACTAACACCAGCGACATACCCACCGCCCTCCCTCTCTGGTGACATCCAAAAATGTGTCCAGGCATTAGCAAATGTCTGCCAGGATTGCGTATCACCTCTGGTTGAGTAGCAGTGCTCTAGTTTTAGAGGCAACTATGATGAGTATCCTTAAAGAAAAAGCTGTGATTATCAAACAAGAACACTAAAATAGGCTGGGATTGTTTGTTTAGCTCTGATGAGCTTCTGATTAGATTCAGGCTAGTTGACTTAAGATCCCTTTTAATTTTGTGATTATAGGATTTAATAGAACCACGTATGATTAATAGGTAGACTTCCTCTTGGCCTCATCTGCTAAAAAATACTGAAACTTTAATGAAATATCTTGGTCCTGTTTTTAGCTTCCCAAATGATTCAGCAGTCTCATGATAATCCAAGTAACTCTCTGTGTGAAGCACCTTTGAACATTTCACATGATGCTTTATGTTCAGGTAAAATTATTTTTTTCTTTCTGTGATATGTTTAAGCTTTGAGAATAATACGATTATCTTATTTAGAATTTCATGCAGCAATTTCTGATGAATAAAATAATGAGTTAAAACTAGAACTTCTAAATTTCCCCCTGAAATTAGGTATTATAATAAAATTAAGGTATGAATTAGACTTCCTTTTTGGTTTCTGTAGGTTTATTTCCTAGGCATTTGCTTTCTTGCTACAGAATCAATTGCTGGTTTAAAAAAATTATTGTGATCATATATAAACTAATCCGTATGCTGTTTAAACTACATAAATCTGAGAACAGTCAGAGCTAAGGAAATGTTTCACACAATGTATAATGAACATAAGGAATGTGTTATTGAATGGGGTCAGTGAAGTATGTAATGATCATCTATAAATTGAGGACATAAATAGAAGATTTCTAATTAATAGCAGAAAGAATATTGGTAAGAATTAATATAATTAGTTACATGCTATGCACATAGATGTTTTTTCACCTGAGAGCTCTTGTTTCACTAAGGTTGATAATTTTTCATGGTCATATCTTCTTCATATCAAATTTCTTACAGCTTTCTCACTTAGCCCCTAATAGGGCCCAAGTAGTTATTAGTGACCCCAGTAAAACTGCATTCAGAAGTGTTTGAGATGTTATCGAATATTTATTGTGAAAGCCACAGCAATGACAAAGCACAAGACATCAAGATATTAGAGGCTTAAACCGAAGCCTCCTTTCAGTGCAGGCTTAATCCTTTCACTCTTACCTCCCTGTGCAGGAATTATTTACCTATTAATCTTAAACAGTCTCCGTCTTTTCATTGTATACTTGATACATTTATTTCCTGGAAGTTGGAAAGAAATGATAATAATAGCTAACATTGATATTGTTGTTGTTGTGTTGTAGGCACTCCTCTGAGTGTCTTATTCACAATATCTCATTTAATGCTCCTATTAGCCTTATGAGGTAGCCATCCCCATTTTGCCAGCGAAAACTCAGGACACAGAGGTCAAACAACTTACAGCAGGTCATGTCGTTTGTGAATGGCAAACCCAAGCTTCTAACTTATGCAGCCTGACATCATAGTTTACACTCTTAGTGACACGTCACACTGCTTATCAGCTTTTTGAAAAGTGTGCTAAAAATAAAAACATAATTTTAGAGTCTGAAAAAATGACCTTATTTTCAGCTACTGCTTTGAAGACACACATGGTGCTGCCTGCCCGCTGGACTTCCCTCCTCTTCGGGAGCACAGCAGGAAGGGAAGCTTTGCTGGTTACCTATGTTCTTCTCTTTTTTTTATTTTTTGTTTTTTGTTTTGAGATGGAGCCTTTCTCTGTAGTCAGGCTGGAGTGCAGTGGTGTGATCTCGGCTCTCTGTAACCTCCGCCTCCCAGTTTCAAGTGATTCTCCTGCCTCAGCCTGCCGAGTAGCTGGGATTACAGGCACACGCCACCATACCTGGCTAATTTTTGTATTTTTCGTAGATACAGGGTTTCACCGTGTTGACCAGGATGGTCTTGATCTCTTAACTTGGTGACCCGCTCACCTTGGCCTCCAACATGCTGGGATTACAGGCATGAGCCACCGTGCCCAGCCGCTTCTTCCTTTTTAAAGCAGAACTTTTGGTGATTTCAGTCAGAGAATTACAACGCTTTATGTTACCTCCAGATTGAGCGATTTCTACCAAACAAAGGTACTCCACCAGCAAGTACTGAGCCCCTTTTGAGGGAGCCAGCATAGCACTAGAGACTTCTTCATATTCATTCCAAAATGAACAGACCTCTAGTAGCTTACACTTACTAGTGATGGGCAGACATCCAGGTAACCATGGGGCAGTATGATGTGGAGGGGCAAGGCCAGGGAGACCTGGCAAGGGCAGTCGGAGGGTTCTAGGGATATTGACAACCAGGTGGGTTTTGAAGGATGAATTGTATCTACCCAGACTAAAGTGTGGAGAAAAGAGCAAGGTCTGGAGGGTACAGAGGAATATAGAATTTTCAGGAGATAGCAGCAGCTTAGGATTAGTCTCAGGAAATGAGTAAGCTATATATGTATGTATATATGTATGTATATATAGAGAGTTGAAACAGGGAAGGTAAAGGTGAGCTGTGTTCATTGAGGGAGTGTTTCGTGCAAGACTTAGAACTTTCCCTAGATCTTACAGTGTAAATCTTAGGTTTTAGAATTACTGACCACCTGGAAAATTTAGTGACAAACTGTGGGATACTCTTCCTGGAAAATCTGCGCATACATGTGGAAATTTGCCAAAATTTTTAGAAGCTTCTTACCCTTCTTGTCTATCCCCACCAGTCAAAGCCCAGGTTCTCTAGTTAAAAATACTGGCCTAAAATGTATTCTTAAATGGAAATGAGAAGAACCCAAATGTGGTTAATAGTCTTCTTAACTAATAGCTATACTTTAAATGTATTGTTTTATTGGTCAACCGAAAGTTGAATTTAGAATAATTTAAACCACTTTTTAAAGTTAGCTCTCCATTGATGTTTTCCAGATGAATCCTTCGCTGGTGGCTTACACTCATCTTTTGATGATCTTTGTGGAAACTCAGGATGTGGAAATCAGGAAAGGAAGTTGGGAAGATCCATCAATGACATTAAAAGTGATACATGTATTTCTTCACTTGTCTTGACAACAAATAATATTCATTCATCACCATCTTTCACTTACCTTGATAAATCAAGTCCTCAGAAATTTCTGAATAATGTTTCAAAGGAAGAAATAAACTTGCAAAGAAATATCATAGGTAAAATAGTCACCCCTGACCAAAAGCAGGCTGCAGATGTGTCTCAGGAGACGTTTGAAGAGTATCGTTTGTCTCCTATGTTATCTTCAACAAAAGGCCACCTGTCAATACATTCAAGACCCAGGAGTTCCTCAGTAAAAAGAAAAAGAATATCAGATGGCTCCCGTTCACCTCCGAAGGAAAAATGCAAGAGAAAGCGGAACGTCCGTAGATCTATCATGCCGAGGCTGCAGCTGTGCAGGTCGGAAGGCAGCCTGCAGCGTGTGGCTGGACCCAAGCTCCAGGCTGTCAGCTGTGAGGAGTCTTCATATGATGACTATTTTTCACCTGATAATCTTAAGGAAAGGAATTCAGAGAATCTTCCTCCTGAATCTCAGCTGCCATCAAGCGCTGCACAGTTCAGCTGCAGAAGTCTTTCGAAGAAGGAGAGAACAAGCATATTGGAAATGTCGGATTTTTCCTGTGTTGGTAAAATAACCAGAACAGTTGAGATTACCCGTTTCACAGCAAAAACTATCTCCAGTCCTCAGAAACCTGCAAATGGTGAAAGCCATGCAACTTTGAGTTGCGTGACTTCTGAGGAATCCTTTGCCCCTGAAGAAACCCTAAGGTGTGGTAGACAGGCTGGGCCTCAGCAGAAAGATGATGCATGCCCAGGGGGAAAGGGCTTTTCTTACCCCGTTGAGGACCCTGCTCTTCCAAAAGGAGAGGATGGTGATTTAACTCCTTTGGAAGGAAGCCTGGAAGAAGTGAACGAAGCGGTGTGTCTGAAAAGCACAGAGAACGAAGGTACCACTTCCAAAATATCAAACTCCTCTGAAGGCAAAGCCCAGAGTGAACATGAGCCACATTTTGTAGTCGATTGTAACGTGGAGAGGTCTGCAGAAGAAAAGGAAAACTTACCCAGAGGATACCCTGGAAGTATGTGAATCTCCTTTTCCAAGTCACCTTTGCTAAATAAACATGTAACAGTGCATCCATATTTTAAATTTATCACAACTTTTTCTTAAATTATTTCCCCATCTACCCCTGTTTTTACTTAAAGAATGTGCATTTGATCATTGCAATGATAAATTCTTTAGGAGTAGATCACTTGCTGCCCTGTGGAACATCTAGGCTTATTGGTCAGATCGGTTGTTATGAATCTCTTTCTCCAAGCCTTTTCCTTCTTATAGGTCAAAATGATAAGTAGTCTATAGTATGAATAACTGAGGGGAGTGAAGGCTTTTTCCTTGTTCTATTGGAGTCTTGTGCTGCAGCGTGAAGATGATGTAAAGATGCATACAGTAGAGGGTTTTTAAAAAACCGTCTTAATAGTCTTTAGTGAGGCTGTTTAAAGAAAGAAATTAAGGTGGCTTAAGCCATTGATTGTATCAAGAAAGAGGAAGTGTTAAAAAGTACCTTTAGGGCCAGGCATAGTGGCTCATGTCTGTAATCCCAGCACTTTGGGAGGGTGAGGCGGGTGGATCAGCTGACGTTGGAGTTCGAGACCAGCCTGACCAACATGGAGAAACCCCGTCTCTACTAAAAATAGAAAATTAGCCAGGTGTGGTGGCACATGCCTATAATCCCAACTACTTGGGAGGCTGAGGCAGGAGAATCACTTGAACCCAGGAGGCGGTGATTGCAGTGAGCCAAGGTTGCACCACTGCGCTCAAGCCTGGGCAACAAGAGCTAAACTCTGTCTCAAAAAAAAAAAAAAAAAAGTACATTTAGAAATCTCTTACCAATACTGATTTTTGAAGAAACTTTGGGTAGTGTTAACCATGAAGGAATATTTTTAAAACATTTTTGCTCATGCCGGGCGCCGTGGCTCACGCCTGTAATCCCAGCACTTTGGGAGGCCGAGGCGGGTGGATCACGAGGTCAAGAGATTGAGACCATCCTGGTCAAAATGGTGAAACCCCGTCTCTACTAAAACTACAAAAAATTAGCTGGGCATGGTGGCGCGTGCCTGTAATCCCAGCTACTCAGGAGGCTGAGGCAGGAGAATTACCCAGGAGGCGGAGGTTGCGGTGAGCCAAGATCGCGCCATTGCACTCCAGCCTGGGCAACAAGAGCGAAACTCCGACTCAAAAAAAAAGAAAAAAAAAAACATTTTTGCTCATTTGTAACAGGCCTTGTTTGACTTGTACTTATTTTGCTTGAAGCATCACTTGAAAATATTTATTCCTATTCATAAATTATAATTATAATAATAAACCATGTCATTGTAGCAAAAGTCACAAAAATAAAAAACATTTTGCACTTCACGGTTATAAGCACAAATAGGTCCCAGCAACCAAAATTGAAGAAATCTCGAACTTTGACTGTCTTTACCTAAAGATCAGATTAAAATTTGAGTAAGAATGCATTAACTCTTTGTGATTTCTCAGCTCTGCAAATGTTTTAAGTACCTCTTTCAAGGTAGAGAAATCATGACAGAGGTTTGAGATCATTACAAGATGTGTTACATATCTTTTCCTTGAGTGTAAATTCCCTAATAATTGTTTCACACAAAGAATGAAACTAATTTTGTGTTTTTTAGCCTATTAGTTATATCTTGGCTTTCTGGACATATATTAAATTTGAAAAGAGACTGTATTTTATGTTCCATTAGCCTTAGTATGTGTTCTCAAAATACTCATTTTAAAATGTTGACTCAAAAGTTAGTGTAAAACAATAGATGCGTAAAATTCTATTGGTAGTTAAGAATATCCTGTTCTGAAGTTTACATTCTCCTCCTTTCCAGTTTTCATCTTGTGTATTGTTTAAGCTTTTGAATAATAATGACATGCAAATATAAATTAAGTGGGGAAAAGCTGATTGCAAAAAGCATGGCATACCTTAAAATCCCAGTGTTGCCGAGACTGTGATAGTCCTTGGAAGCAGGTGTGTTTTGTGTTCTAGAACATCAGCTCCTGTGTCGACAGCCTCCGGAGGCTGGGGTAAGTAGAAGGGATGAGGGGCCAGCACTGGTTAACCCTTGGCGCCCTGGTGGAGATCTAGAGGTGTCTTCGCTCATTGGTGCGGGCCATCAGGCAGTGGCATCCAGGCAGGGCCCTGGTGCAGCGAAACATTCTGTGTGCGCTAACGTAAGGACATCTTCTAGAGTCCTCTGCCTTACTTCATGTCATTCCAAAGACATGGGAAGTCACTGGATTCTAGGACATAAAAAGACCTACATGTTGGCTAGCCTAAATCTAACCCATCTATAGTAATAAAACTGAGATTCATGGATGTTTTAAACTGTCCACTGTCAGCCCCCTGGGACTCCGGTAAACCAACTCTCTTTGGGAATCTACCTTAGAAAATGAAACCATAAGGCCTTGAATTTCAGTGTCAGGGATGCACACTCTATACCTGGGGAAACTGGAGGAGTGAAAACATCTGTGCAGAAACTGTGTCTCCAAATCTTTCATGTCAGAATAAAGGTCTTTTTTTTTCCATGTCTGTTTTCAGCTCACTTTTACTTGTTGCTGTTGTCAATATCTAAGACTGTAAAAAAGGTTTTAAAAAACAAGTTACAAAGAGCTTCAGGACATTAATAGAATGGGAATTGCAGGAGAAACAATTTTGTTTTCTAAAATCTTTAAAATCGTTAATTTTTTTGTTTTTCATTCTCTAATTTTATAAACAGTACACAAATACATTCCCATTGTAACAAAGCTTGCTAAGAAGACTAGAATTCCCGTCTCACCTCACTTGCCTCTTTTCATTAGTTCACTTAATAACTAATGAATATCATGCACCCATCATGTGTCAGGCGCTCTGCAAGTTTGTGAGGACATAGCAGAGAATGAAGCAGCATGCACCCCCATAGAGGAAGACAAATAGTAAATAAGTGTGTTACAGTGTCAGCCAGCCAGCAGTTAATGATAAAAAGAAAAATAATAGTGCATTGGCTAGATAAGGTGGCCAGTGAAGGCTTCCCTGAGAAGGTGACATCTGGTCACGGGCCTGGGAAGTAGCGGGGAGCCTGTGACTGCCAAAATCTATGTTTCAGCTGGAGGCAACAGCAGGAACAAATGTCCTGATGGAGAAAAATGCTTGCAGAAACAACAGGGAGGCCAGTACAGCAAGGACTTCCTGCGCTGGAGGGAGGCGCATTGGAAGGAGGTTGGAGAGGGGCAGGGGCCAGAGCTTCGGGACCTTCAGGCTCTGACAAGGTGGGCAGCTGTTTTGTTTTGTTCTGAAGTGTGATAAGAAGCCATGGGGGCTTTTGAACAGGGAAGTAACCAAATCAGATTTAGGTTTTAAATGTAACCCTGTACACTTTATGGAAAGCAGACTATGGGTTGGAGTGTTTGTCTGCTCGAAGCAGACACTTGCCACAGTTTATTATTTCCTTCCACACATTTCATGTGTGTGTGTGTGTGTGTGTGTGTGTGTGTGTGTGTGTGTGTACAAGCATACAAATGCAAATAGGTATTTTAAGATTATTTGTTGCATACGTAGTTATATTGCCTTAAAGTTTGCTTTTTATAAAAGGGATGTATTTACATACTGGTACTGTAAATCCTCTTGTTTTTTTTAGGCAGAGTCTCACTTTTTCACCATGCTAGAGTACAGTGGTGCGATCTCGGCTCACTGCAACCTCCGCCTCCTGTGTTCAGGCGATCCTCCTGCCTTGGCCTCCCGAGTAGCTGGGACTACAGGTGCACACCACCATGCCCAGCTGATTTTTGTATTTTAAGTAGAGACAGAGTTTCACTATGTTGGCCACAAATGGTCTCCAACTCTTGACCTTGTGATCCACCTGCCTCAGCCTCCCAAGGTGCTGGGATTATAGGCGTGAGCCACCGAGCCTGGCAAATCTTCATTTTTAAATAGAGCTTGTATGTAGGGTCAGCACAATTTTTCTGTAACAGATGAGATAGTAAGTTGATTAGGCTTTGTTGGCAAAGAGGCCAAATCGGGGTATGCCGGTACTTGTGTAGACAGTTACATAATGAGAAAAAGACATTTTCCACAAAATTTTTATTGATGAAACGAATACAGTTTTTTTTGTAATACAGGTCTATTAATGAGAAAGATAATTTGTGGGGGTAGGGAAATACATAATTGGAGTTTAGATTGAGTGCTCCCATCACCGACATTGATTGCAAATGTTTATGAAGGCTAATATGTAATAATAAAGATTTTATGTACAAATTTCACTTTTGAAAATGCCTTTTCACACAGACAGATACTGCTGATTCAGTGTCAGTCCACAGCAGGTAATTGGCATTGAGCATATTCATTGCTTAGAAGACACTGATGGAATTCTGTTAGATTCTTCTCTTGATGTATGCCTATTAGCATTTCCTTATATTGCAGACTTATCACTTCCAATTGAAAAATAGGTTGAAGCTCCTCAGTTGTGCGATTAAATGGGTTTTGAAATAGAAAATTTGGTCCAGGCATGGTGTCTCACACCTGGAATCCTAGCACTTTTGGTGGCCAAGGTGGGTGGATCACTAGAGGTCAGGAGTTTGAGACCAAGCTGACCAACATAGTGAAACCCTGTTTCTACCTAAAAACACAAAATTAGATGGGTGTGTTGGCACATGCCTGTAATCTCAGCTACTTGGGAGGCTGGACCAGGAGAATCGCTTGAACCTGGGAGACGGGGGTTGCAGTGAACCGAGATCGAGCTACTGCGCTCCAGGCTGGGCAATAACAGTGAAACTGTCTCAAAAAAAAAAAAAAAAAAAAGAGAAAAAAAAAATGGAATTCCTTTTGCTCTTGCACTCAGTCTGAAAAATGCTGCTGCAGTTTGGGCTCAGGAAATATTTCCATAGTCAGTTTGCATGGGAATGGAGATCTCAATTCTTGTTTCAACCTTTGACTGCACAAGAGAGAATTGATGCTACTTATTTGTGGAAGTGTGTCCCACCTGCCCCCTGGCACTGCCAATCATAGCCATCAACCGCCGGAAGTCAGTGTGAATTGCCGAGTAG